CCTGTCCCCACCTCTCCAAGTAGGGCAGTGCTTTCTCAGCTCACCACCGCCACCCCCGCCCCTTGTCACTGGCAGACATCACCAATCGATTACCACACTTTCCTGCTGAGCTAAGACTTGGCCTTAGAACGTTCCAACACAGCTCCCCCGGCAGCCACCCCCGATCAATTAAATTAATCAAAGTATAAGATGAGATGTATTTTCTGTTATAGATCTCAGGTGCCCTTTCCCATTCTTGGTGTAATCGCTCTCCATCATCTACATGCTCTGAAATATTCCCAGAGGGTGTCCGGCCACGAAGGCTGCCATGGCTCTCTGAAAGCCCGCGAGACCAGCTGTCCTGTGTCTTTCTCTACACGCTCGGTTCCTTAGCTGTGGTGGGAGCCACCCCTCCACCACATCACTCCCCCTCTGGGAACATTCGAGGTTAACCAGCACCCCATAAACGAGGAACAACCCCTCCTCACCAAAAACCCCCACTGCTAAAGTCCCCTGCAGGGGCCCACCACCCACAGCTGAGAAACTGGGAACCGGCGTGAGATTGATGACTGATAGATGATAAATACAGAGATAGATAGATGATAAAGAGGGTCGGTGCAGCAGAAGATAGATAATAGGTGGATGGTGGGTAGATTAGACAGATGAAACATATAGATGACAGATAACAGGTAGATGGCAGAAAGACTGCAGCCAAGTAGTGATACATAGATGTACAGATAGATAACACTCAGATGATAGATGAGATAGATGATAGATAGATAGATTGATTGATAGATAGATAGATAGAATAGATAGACAAATGAATGATGTACCAGATAGGCGGACAGATATTTAGATGCACACATAGGTAGGTAGATTTGTAGCTAGTAGGCAGATAAATAGATCAGAGAGGAGAAAGAGAGAGGGCGAGAGCAGGAGGCTGGAGGGGGTGCAGCAAGCTCTGTCTAACATTACAGTGCAGCTGAAAAAAGCCGACTGTGACCTGGGAGGGACGAGGAGGTTTCCGGCATGGCTGTGGCCACCCAGCTTCCTTCCTGTGGCAGGTCCCTGAGGGATGGGCAAGACGGAGGGGCCACAGGCGCTCCTCCCCGTCCCACGGATATGGCTACCAATTGTCCAGTTCTGCAGGTGCATCTGAGCATCTACCTGCCCTGGCTGAGCTACTGCTGTGTGGCCAGCTAGCCCCACCCATCACCCAGCCAGCCCCGCCTACTACTGTCAGCCCCACCCACCACCCAGCCAGCCCCGCCTACCACTGCCAACCCCACCCACCACCCAGCCAGCCCCGCCTACCACTGCCAACCCCACCCACCACCCAGCCAGCCCCGCCTACCACTGTCAGCTCCACCCACCACCTGACCAGCCCCACCCACCACCCTGTGAGCCTCTGTCCAGGCCT